CAAGTGGAACCCTGTGCAAATTGTCTGTATCTGAGGGACAGAGAGGGGAAAGAAAAAAAGGTGGATTAAAGGAAAAAGGGTGGTGAAACCATGTCTACACAACAAATTTTAGAGGTTAGAAAGCAAGCAAGAGACAAAAACACTGCTTTTACATTGTGATCTAAAATTTTAGGTGTGAATTTTGACCAGTCTGATTTACTCATGAACATGCAAACCCTCCTTCCCCCACTCCCACCCCTGCCAAAAATCGCTAAAAATGTTGCAAAGAGAGGTTTCAATGCTTTTTGAGGGTTTTTTCATGCTTGAAATTTTGATGCATTTCCAGCCAAAATGCTTTTTCACCTCTAATTTTATAAGATATTTTAAAATCAGACCTGGTACATTCCTTAGAGCCAATGCCTAGAATTAAGTTTGCTTCAGGTAAATAAGACCATTTGCCTTATTTTACTTTTCACAAACAGTGATAAAGAAACAAAAACATCATTCAGATGTTTGTTTAGGTTTTTTTTTTTTAATCATTCACCTAAATGTTGACATTCAGAGGAAACAGAACTGCTGCCTACATCTTTGAAAATATTTAGACCACTTTCTCAAATCTGCTTTGCAAAAATCGTAACCACAATTTTCCAGCGTTATCATCATAATGTTAAGAGAAAGGAGAAATCTGGAAAGCAGAGATGAAACAGCAAGTCAGTCAGTATTTCTTCCACTCTCAGAGGCAAATTATAGTAATTCCTCAAACAAAACTTGAAAGAAGAATAAAACTCTGAAAACCTGTGACTTCTCTACTCTCACTAAGCAAACAGGAAGACAAGATAGCCAGGCAAGCATGAGCTACCCTACTAGCACACACTACCTCCAATCCTTCTTACACGCGCACAAATTTTCTGAAGCCGAACTTGCATGGGCCTGCAGTGAGCATTTATGTTGAAGATTATAGAAATCAGATCTCATCAGTTGAGTGAAGCTCTAGCAATTAATACTTAGGAAATATTTTGCCAAGAATCCCTAGGGAATTTCCACAAGTAGACCTTAAAAAACACAGAAAAGGCGGCATTATCCATTAGAAATGGAGACAGGAGGCTGCTTTTATTTTCAAAATTAAAGCAACTGAAATTAGTATTTCTTCAAAGATACACCAACTCTGCAAAAGAAAATTACAAAAGTGCGGCTTAGTTTTTGAGCCTACTAAACTTAGTATTTTAGTATTTTGCCAGCAGGCAAAAAAAAAGCGTGCAAGTATATCTGCCTAATGTATTTGAATCTTCCACTCTAAAAACCACACAGGAATTCCTCGCAGTGCAAGCACTTTAGATGCATTTACCTAAGGGGGGTTGAGGACTAGATTCATACAAGAATTAGGATGGTTAGATGCTTGAGACACCCACCTGCCATCATCTACCCCTACAGGTGCCAGTCTTGCCCTGATCACTTCGTTTTTCCAAACAAAACTGAAAAAAACCCAAGTTGTAAGGAACGTATGCCTTGGGGCTGATACGCTCAGTGCCAGCCTCAGTGGGACTCTCAAACCAAGCATTTCCAGATGGAAATGTGGGGTTTCCAACCCTGAGCATTCTCTGCTGTAGAGCTCAATCCAATGCAACTTCAGACCTGGACTGGAGCGCACAGGAAACTAGGTAAGGTCTCTCACAAAGCGCTGACAAGCCAGTCCTCCGCTGGCACGTGGGACACGGAAGTTCAAATCCTTCCTCTGTCCCTTCTGGAGTAGGAACTTTAGCTCTTCCTTTCCTCACAGATAATTCTGTAAACATTGAGTGCTCAAGATTAAGGAGGCAGAGGGAAAGGAAGCTTTTTTAAATCTCCTATTGAAGCCACTGCTGTTTCATAAAATATTCACAATATTAATAAGACTAATAAACAGTTTGGAAATATTCCCACCGTTCACTGGTTCACACGTTCGACACGAGTGACCAAAATGAGAATTCCTTTCTGTACACTTCAGGTCATGTATGATGTCCTCAGCACAGGAGGCACCAGAGCCATTAAAAGCAGAGGGGGTAACACACTGCCCTGCTGATATGAACAGAGCAACAGCGAGGCTCACATGGCTTTGGTTCCTAACTCCACGAGGAAAGACAAAAGCCACAAAAGAGGGAAATTCTTGCCTCTGACTTACAGATTCTCTGCCCTTCTTTTTGCAGAAACAGCAGAAATTATTAAAAAAATCCCAGGGGTGCAGATTTCCCAGTCCATACCACAGAACACGCTTCCAAATCCCATTCAGCAGCTGCTCAGCTATCTGCAGCAGAGCAAACCCATAACAGGGCAACGCAGTTGAAGCATGTTTTTGGGTCCAAAAAAAGCAGCTGCCTTTATTTTTTGGTCCTTCTCAGGTCTAGGAGAATACAGAAATAGAGTCCAGAGCAGGTCTTGGTTTTTATGTCAAGGGGACAATATATCTGCACTATGTAGAGAACAAAATAGAAGTACTCCTAACTTCAGAGTCCGTCTTCTAAACACACTGCCATGTAAGCAAGGCCTCCATCAGGCTGCTTTTTCCACCCCTTCGAAGGGCACCCTGCGGTCATTTTACTGCACAAAGTTGTACATTAGAAAATACAACACTTGAAGAAAGACACTTCAACTCCATTTTTCAGATGATCTATTATCACCAACAGGTATTTGTTTAGTCTATAGAGGCAATAATAGTTCTCAAAACTGGCAACTATCCCAGACAGTAAGTTTAAAAAGAAAGCTCTTATGTTGTAAGAACAGCAAACAGAACAGATTTTCATCTGAAGTTCACAATTTGGAATTGAAAAGTTACACCTTCCTACAAGTAACTCTTAAGAGTAATAAAATGGCAATGTAGTGGGTGTAAAAAAACATCTTCCTCTCCCTTTTCCTTCAGTTCACCTGTATTGTAACAGGAATGACAACAAAGACATAACCCGATTCTAACCCAGTTGCTATCATGAACATGGGCAATGAGGAGAACAACCTCTCAAGCCCACACAAGCCACGTAGCAGGAATAATACTGTGCTGAAGGCAGCATTAGCCCAGAGGTGCTGAGCATAACACCTGCATGCAGTCCGGGTGTACATTTCTCCCGCCAGCTCGAGGACGCTGCTCTGGCACTAAATCAGCTCTACATCTCATGCTCATGCGTGGCGCCAGTGGAAGCTCATAGAAGAGATTTTCCCTGGTTCAGCAAGGTAAACCTAACCAGTAAGCGCAGATCCAAACAGAATGAAGAGAAACATGGTTGAGTCAAGCAGGTTATCTTATTACTCCCAACCCTCTCTTCAAAGTCTCCTCTCCAAAAAATACAGCAGTGAAGAACTCTACATAGCCTTAAAGCTTGAGGATGTGTTATTTAAACAGTATATATAACCTGCTGGTTTTTTCCACCTAATAACAAAAAAATAATTCCTTTTTTCCCCAGAATTTTGCTGATAATCCTATTATTAGTTGACAGCTCATTTAAAGTGCCCTGCTCCCAAACACAAGGCATTGCCAAGGTCACCCTTCTCTCCAAATTTAAAATACTTGAAAGCTGTTACCAGAACACAATGCCACGGCAGCTAGCAGAACAACTCCTCAAAAGTTAGGCTGCACACTTCCCTTTTCTTTTCAAAATAATACTAAGATTGTGTAAGTTTCCACTCACAATTTTCAAGATTCAACAGGAGAATGGAAATCTGATCCTGATGCTTGCAATTTTTATGAGACGCTCACTTTCTTAAACAACAACAAATTGTGTACTTCATACCAACTGTTTCCTCAGATCCTCCCAGCAATAATGCATACCTCCCAGAAGCCTGCCCTCTTGATCTGTTTAAAAAATCTCTTCCAACTCTTTCATCATCAAACTCAAGGAACTGTTCCAGATGAAAAACCCCTGGAAATTGCACGTAAGGACACAAAAGACTGTTGTATTGTGACTGACAATTCAAGCTCTGACTCCTGGGATGCAGAACACCACTTATAAATCTCCAAAATAATTCTCAATAAAGCTCATGCATTTTCTTGGGTAACTGTGACACACATCCATTTCTGCAGAGCACGTGATGTTTTCTTGGTCTCTTTTACAGCTCCAATCCCCACACACCCCTGATCTTCCAGTTGAAAACTACAGGTAAGGAATATAAGAGCAAAAAAGAATGAGTGATGGGCTAATCTTCTCACAATGGTGATGAATATATGAATATCATTAATCTCACAGCAGGGAAATCATCTACACATATATCATGCTACAAACTTCCATTTACCCAAACAAGTGTCACTAGTTATATAGCAGATGATTATTTCATTTTTTGGAGTTTCTTTCTGACAGATCACAAAGTGCCACGCAAACAGCAATCTGAACCACAGAGGCATGCTGCGGCTAGAAAGATGCTCAAAGGATAAACAGGTGAGTAACATCTTTCTTAATGATAATACGGGCAAAGGTTGAACACCTCCAACAAAGAACTCCATGGCAGACAATTTTTCTTACAAAGGCACCAAGAGATTTTAATGCATGGCTGAACTGAGGAACCCCACCAGCATTAAACATCTCACTGCAAAACACACACACCGCCACGCGCACCTCAAACAAGGTGGTCAGTCTGAGGAGTACCTCCATCTTCAGACTACTTCATATTTATTATCTACCAGATCAGAGATTTAAGATACCTAGCATATATCAAAGAGTAATAAATGTTTTCATATAACTTGATCTCCAGGTTTTGTAAACAAGCCCATTAATCTTTAATGTATCAGCAATATAGGCAGATGTGGTTTTTTTCAGAGATACCAGCCAAATGCAGCAACCTCTAGCCAGTAAAACTCCCAACTATTTCTAGTTCTTTGGCACAGAAAGAAAACTGTCACTGATGTGGGTTTTTTGTTTTGGTTTTTTTTTTTTTTTTTGTATCTTGAGCAACAGTTTACCTAAGTAAGCATGTAAAGATTTAACCCAAGGTCAGCAAGCCAGACTAAGGGCAAATTTAACGCCTGGTCCCTACATCTGCGCGCATACCACTGACACAGAAAACTACATCATTTCTGAAAACGCATCAGAGTTACCTTTCTGGACGTGGATGATGTCTGGAAAGTTGGCCAAATGCCCCTGATACAGCGCTAACAAATCCATCACGGGATCTAGGTCCTGACGGGGCTGATCTGCAAAGAGGTCCCCAATGGCATCGTAGGCTTCTGCAGTGAAGGCTATGGCTTGGTTGAGGCCAACGGAAAAGGCCTGCTGGTCCAGCTCAAATGCCTGGCTGAGGCACTTAAAGGAATGCCCCACCTTCTGGTATTCCTTCTTGAAACCAGTGACTTGTTTGCGGGCAAACTCGTTAGCTGTGTGATTAAGCTGCAGGGCGCTTTCATCCATCTTCTTCGTGAAGGCTTTGAAGCCATCCACCTGGCTTTCCACCTCCTGCAAGTCCAGGCTAGCCCCGGGGCCCGTGGGGACACTGATGGTCAGGAAAAAGTTGGCACCCACCATCTCATCCTTCTCAGCCTTGCGCTTGCCCTGCTTCCAGGCCTTCTCATCCGTGCTGGGACAGGTGAGGAAGTGCTGGAAGGCATCGCACTGAGCCAGCACGGGATGACTGCACATGTGGTCCATCCACCAGGCCAGGCCTTTGCGACGTTTGGAGATGAAGTCCTCCTCGAAGCGGCCGGTGGCCTGCTTCTCCGGCAAGTGGGGCACGGAGATTACGGGGAACTTCTCGGCCAGCCGCCCATAGAGCCAGTCGAAGTGCTTGTAGCGGCGGTGCACCTGCTGCCCGGTGTGGCTGGGCACCAGCTTGTAGGCAATGTAGCTCTTCATGCCCTTGAACTTGGTCTGCTTGGTGGGGTCCTCGATGGAGCACTGGAAGGGGTACGGGTTCTCCTGCC